GCTGCTGAGCTAAATCCCCAGCCCCGAACCCAGGGCCTTACACATCACAGGCAAATGCTCTACCACTGAGTTCCAACCCCAGCCCTAGCAATAAGGTTTAAAGTACAGTTAATAAAATGCTAGGTGTTATTGATTGGTACAGAAAATATAGTCTGTAATAAGCACTGAGAAAAGCTGAACATAAGTTTCAAGAGAAGGTTAGGATTTTGCCTGTGGCTACAAGGTGAAGAGAAGCAGAATATTGGACTGTTATGAGAAAACCAGAGGAAAAATTTGGTTTAACAGTTAACTGTCAGAAAAAAAAAAAAAAAACTTTATTATCAGCCCTGACATTTCACAGCACATCCACAGCAGGGAGTAGAGTTGGCAGAAAAACAAGACCTGTCAAAACGTTACATGTACAACTTGGAAGAGGAATTTCAGTGGAGTCATCTTTCCCAAGTGTTTTTCCCACAGAAGAGTGATTTCAAGAGATGGTCATAAATATTATGTGAAGAAAGAATTCCTTTATAATATAATTTGAAAACATTGGGTTAAAGCAGATGAGTAGTTTTCATTACTGCCAGATATCTCAGAGCCTTTAATATGCTGGTGCTTTTTTTGAATCTCTAGAACAAGAAAGAAAAAAATACGTATACAGCATTTGCCAAACTTAATTGACATTTCTCCTAGGCTTTGCATTTTCTGCTCAAATATACTTTGGGGGAAAAATAAGTTACCTGGATGACTAGATCATAAGAGATTTATATCAGTTTAAAGTCATTTTAGATTATTATTTTTAAATCTTTATGTCTCTCAGACATTGGCTACATGATTTAATAGTCATAGCAATAACAACAATAAAGTGGCTAAAATTACTGATATTTCCTGTGTTCAAGACAATTTACTAGGCACTTAACTAGGCACTAGATCCCAGCTTCATGACTGAGTTGCTCTGTGACTTTGGCTAGGTTACTGATTATTCTGAGCTTTAGTTTTCTTACATTTCAATTTAGAGTAGTAATAATACAGACATTGTATGGTAGTTGGAGGATTTAGTGAACTATCACTTTTAAAGGTCTGCTCACAGGAGGCTTTCAGTAAGGCATAGTGATTATAATTATCATTATCATTAATCCTTTAGAGTAGGATCCTCCTAACATACAGGAGGAAACTGAGGCTGTAAGCCATAGAGCTAGAGGGGGCAGAGAATGATAAGAAATCACCTGTTGAAAGAGATGGTTCTTTGTGTTCCTGGCATCATAACTTAGAAGAGTTTGTTTTGATCGCCAAAATTTAAGCTACAAAGAACACTGCCATCCAAAGGGCACTCCCAGAAATTACAGACACGTGATTCCAGAGTCCCGAGGGGAGATTTGAGGGCTATTCCTGTTTAAGCCCTTCTCTTCCTTAGCAAAGTGATTCAAACATTGGACCAAAATGCTTGTGAGATTTTCTTTTTACTGACTAATTTCCCAATGGAAAACAAATCATCTAGATTCATTGTAATTATTTGGGAATTATATTTTGAAACTTGCTTTTCTTAGTGATTAGGAAAGACTGAATTTAAAAAAAAAATGCTAGAGTTAGATATTTCTGTATGTTAGCAATTCCAATGGAGCCTTTATTTGAATATACCTTTTTTTTTTTTTTTTTTTTGAGACAGGGTCTCCCTACCCAGTCCAGGCTGTCCTTGAACTCACTATATAACCTAGGCTAACCTCAAACTCATAGTGGTCCTCCTGCCTTAGCCTCCTGAGTACTGATTACAGGGGTGCACCACCATGCCTGGCTGAACATGTTCTTAAATAAATGGGTTTTTAAAATTTCAACCCAACTGTAAACCTTACATATGATTTCCACATGTGTGTGTCAGAGGTGTGAATTATATAAAAGAAGAGGTGCTTCAGAGGGTCTGAGGATCACTGACCCAGCCTTTCCAACTTACTTAATGAAGTTGTCCTATCTCCGGGCTTTTCAGAGCTTTGGGGAACTTTTCTTACTTTGTGTCAGGTCTCACAGAGCCCAAAGACTAATTTGGATCAAAACCCCAGGGCTTTAAAACATTGTTTAACACAGCAAACATTAAAACCTACTAATTAGTACAACTAAATTTAATTTATGCTAAGATTGGACCATTTTCCAAGTAGTTTCCAATCATCTGTGTCTTCAAGACACTTTGCTGGTTTTTCCTGGTGGCAGATTGCCCCCTGATGTGTCAGCCTTCCTAGCTGTTCTACTAGTGCCCACTGATCCTCAAGGAGCACATAAATGACTGCAATTTCTTGGGGAAACTAAAAGCAAAACTTTTTTCCTAAATAGGTCGAAGTTAGATCAAAGAATGTATGGTTTAGACAGGAAGGACTCCAAACTTTACAACCTAAGGAAGGAAATATAAGGAAATACCCTGATTCCTTGTTAAATTAA